GAGTAGTTCTTTTCAACCTGTAAGAATTGAGTGAAACTAACACAATTCATTATCAAAACATTTGTAAGACAGTAATGATTATAAAGAATTGTCTTTTCTGCTTGATTAATTCAAGAAAGAAAGTCATCAGATGGTCCAGACTTATCCAGATCAATGAAAATAACAGTCTCTGTCCATCTGGTAGATTTGAGGTCATCTGGTTCACTACACACCTGTCTGTACAAACTGTTCAGCAGCAGATGCAGATAAAGCAGCATCTTGACGCCGCGGGAGCGTGCGTTTGACACCACTGCGATGAAAATACGTGTCGCTCCTGCCGAGAGCGAGATACGTTACTGGGCTTGTACCGCGGTCTCACGTTAACGTTTGGCGGGCGCTGAAAGCTGTGGGCGCGCTTTCATAACGCAGCGCTTTATAGGTGAAGGCTGCTTGAGCGCGTGTTGGCACCACTGGCAGTGAATGAAACAACCTTAAAAGGCTCAGTCGTGATGAGTGTGTGTGATGAGGCCACTTGTCAGATCATCCGTGCTGACAGCCTGGCTAAAAGACACTTCATCATAAAATGATGCTTATTTCACATCGTGTCATCAACACACCTCCAGCAAACCGAGACCTGGTTATCTTCCCTTGAGCTCTGTTTGTTGTCCTAGAGGGCCCCCTGTTGGCGGAGTCCGGGAAAAATTGAACTTCCGGATGCCGGGGACGTCTGACGGGAGGGGCTGGCGTAGCAGAGCTGGGGAGGCATTGCGCAGCCGTGGAGCATCTTGAAATGATCTCTTGCTGATGAAGGCCCTCCAACAAAAGCTTCTGCAGCTCTCCTGAGAGGAAGGTGGAGTGATGAGCCAGGAGAACCTCTGGGACCTCGTTCTCCAGCTGCAATGCGGGGCGGCAGACAGCAAAAGAGGCGCTCCGGTTGGGGATGACGTCAGCAGGGGCCGATAGCGTCGTTAGTGAACGGCCGCTACGAGAGCGGAGCGAGCCGAAGGTCAGAGGGTCCACCGTCTCTTCCCGCCTCTGAACGTGTACGCCAACAGCGTAACGTGTTGTTCGCTGTGGCCGTCTGGAACGCATGCTGGTGAGCTCAGTTGGAGAGCGGTGTCACCGTCTGCGTTACGCTAACAGGAGGCACGGGATGCTGGTCCACCTGGACATCTTGCTCCAATGAAGCCTCCGTCAGGCTTGGCTCCAGGGGGCACTGAGGGAATTTCCGCTCGGTGAAACCCCTGCTCTGGTGATGGGCGCAGACTGTGGAGACCGGCCCCCCAATCTACCAGGAAAGCCGGCTGTGGCCTCGTCCCCGTAGGACGTCCTGTTGGGAAACCGAGGCCAGATGGGATCAGGACGGCGAGCCGGAATGGAGCCTAGAAAAAACCTTCCTGAAGGATCATCCGAACTGGTGGGAAAGGCGCGGGACGTAAAAAAGAGTCCCTTAATGTCAGCAGCCTCCTGGGTTATGCCGAGCAACCCCAGAGGGCGCCGTCGGCCGGGAGCGGTGTGATCGCCGATGCGAAACAAGGTGGGATGAGGTGAGCGTTCGCTCAGCCCCCCTCCACCGACACTACGCTCTCCAGGAGGGAATGAGCAGCGGGGCAGCAGCTGAACGCCACCTGTCTCGGAGGAACCATCCGATTAGCTCCGAGGGTCGGCGATAAGAGGAAAATTACAAGATGGCGTTGTCCAGCGTGTAGCGACCTGTCACTGAGAAATACTCCTCGGCGCTTACCTTGAAACAAGACTGTTCATCAGCTTCTCCTCGGGGAGGAGAGCTCACCATGACGACCGGAGGTCGACGTGACGGGCCAAGCATTCTTAACAAAGGTTGGTCATCTGTACAACTTTCCTTCTTCGTTCTTCTGACAGTGCTATTAGCTCGCTTAAGAAAAATGGGAGCCGATTACCCGCTCTTAACGTAACTTATACGGACCGGGTGGGGCCCACACAGCAGGTGGGCGTGGACTAAATATTTCAGTGCAAATGCTTCGCATATCGGGATAAAACCCATCAGCGACAGCCTTAAAGGGCGAAGCCTATATGAAATAGAACTTATAGACAAGTTATACAAAGAGGTCAGATCCTGGAGCCAGTTCTACATAATCCAGTTTATGGTTTATAAATTACATTTCAGAAGAGGTTTTGTGCAAACTTGCACAGGTTTTGAAATTTTGTTAAAGATTTACTAAATCTGAATCAATATGGTTAAGACTGAAGTCTGTATATTTCATATTAGGTTAAGTTTTGAAAATATAACAAATGTTAGAGCAATATGGTTAAAAATAACTGAAGTCTGTATTTTATGTTGAGTTAAAGGTTAATATACTATGGTAGGCTGAAGTCTGTTTACTTTTGTATTTATATATTTTGAATTATTTGTCTGTGATGGACTGGAGCTGGCTATTCAAACAAACAAAACAAAAAAATGTAGAAACGTTTCGTCTCTCATCTGAAAAACTTCTTCAGTCTGAGGTGCTGTATCAGCTCAGTCTCTTAAATAGCACCTTCTCAGAGTGAATCAACCAGTTTGCTGCTGACAACCAAAACCAGCTGATCACATGTTCAAGAAGGACCATCAGCCTAACAATGGATCATTAGCACACTGATGGTTGTTTACTGTTCACAGAGGGCTGAGTGATACTAGCAATCACAGCATTGTAAGAGGGGGACAATTGAACATGGAGCCTCCACCCCTGTTTAATGATGGACGGTTTCTTTTCACAAAGATGGCCTCATTTACTCCTCTCTCAAACCATCGTTCCTCTCTATCCAGGATGTGAACATCTTCATCCCTGAAAGAGTGACCGCTGGCCTGGAGATGAGTGTAGACCGCAGAGTCCTGGCCTGATGATGTTGATCTTCTGTGTTGGGCCATCCTTTTGGCCAGTGGCTGTTTAGTTTCCCCGATGTAAGACTGATCACCCTCCTGACACTGAACAGCATACACAACATTACTCTGTTTGTGCCGGGGGACTGGATCTTTGGGATGAACCAGTCATTAATGTATTTTGGGGTTTAAAAGCCACTGGGACGTTATGTTTAGAAAATAAACGTCTCAGTTTCTCTGATACTCCCTCAACATATGGAATGACCACTGGTCTGGGTTCCTCCTTTTCACCTGTTGGCTGACTGGAGTCCTGTTTGGGTTTCTTCTTTCAGGAAGGCCCAGTTAGGATATCCACATTGCTCTAGAGCCTGTCTTGTGTGGGATTTCTCCTTCTGCCTGGCTCCTGAGCTAGTGGGGATGCTGTCTGCTCTGTGGTACAGAGTCCTGATGACTCCTAACTTGTGCTCCAAAGGGTGATGGGAGTCAAACTGCAAATACTGGTCTGTGTGGGTGGGTTTGTGGTACACCTCGGTTTGCAAATGTCCTCTATCAGAGACTGAGACCTCACAGTCCAAGAAAGCCAACCTGCCATTTTTTACATCTTCTCGTGTGAACTTGATGTATTTATCCACAGAGTTGATGTGATCAGTAAAATGTGGATTATATAATAGTTTATATTTTTGCTATTTTTGGGTGAAACTGGAACCTTCAGCACACAATTTTGTTCCACCTCACAAGTGATGAGAATGACAATAAAGTAACCTTGAACTACCAGTTAAAAATCTTCTCTTGCTGTCGAGTGTGGTTCTTTTTGAGTAAGTAAAATAAAGGGAGAATATTTTTCTCCAACAAAAATCTGAACAAATTAAAGACTTCACTTGCTTAAAGGAAAGTGTATCGCCTGTCATGCCAGAGACAGAATGAGATTGTGTTCTTTAAAAACTTTCAGAAATCAACACAAAGTTTGTTTTCTCAGTCATCCAGGTATATAACAACAAAAAAGGTTGAATCATGTCATCTGGACTTCGTTTTTTTGTTAAAAAGAAACGTTTCGCCCCTCATCCAAGAGGCTTCGTCAGTCTGAGGCCTAGCCATCTGGTATTACCCAGAAGCCACCCTGACTCTTGTGTTTCAAGCCTGCCTCAGATACCCCTGAAGTCTGGCCTTTTCACTAATGGTTTCAAAAACACAAAGTTTGTTTTCTCAGTCATCCAGGTATATAACAACAAACATGATTCAACCTTTTTTGTTTTCAGAAATCAAACTCACCCGGTCCACCTTCATGATCTGAAACCTCTGAGAGATGTCAGCTGTGTTGGCGGGCAACCGCGATCTTCCTGAGACGAAGCGCATGAAGAGGACGCGCTCCTCGTTGGAGAACTCCTCCAGCGTCTGCCAGAACCACTGGACCAACGCATGCTGCTCGTCCACCTCCCGGTACCGCACTACCTTCTTCAGCACATCGCAGCAGATCTCGGGCATGCCGCACACCATCTGCTCCAGCTGCTTGGAAGTCAGCAGAGACAGCAGCGGCACTGGAACAATCCACGACATGCCCTCGCGCACCGCTGCCACCTGATGGAGAGCAAGTTGAGGTCAGGGAGGGGGGTCAATTAAGGGTCAGAGGTCAAAACAACAAATATTGTTTATCTTCAACAACCTGCAGATGGTTTTATTTTTTCCACATGATCAATGAAATGAGGACACTCAGAAGTACAGCCTTATAAAAGTATTTTATTGTTTTCCTAAATTACAACTGGTTAGTCCACGATGGGAGTGTAAATTCTTGTGGGTAAACTGTGGCTCCACAGACTGAAGAAGTCCTTCGGATGAAGGACAAAACGTCTCTTAACAACAAAAGAAACCATCCAGATGACTTGACTGAACATTGTTGGAATTTTTATCTGGATTATTGAGCATGAACCTTGATATTTAAGAAGTAATTTTTTTCACAAACTTTAGAAAGAGATACAGGAAAACACTTATAGTATAATTGTTGGTCTATAGAGCGTACCCAAACATAAGCCACACACAATAAATTCACCTAAATAAATAAATGCATAAATAAATAAATTATACATATACAAGTCATGCTTGTGAATAAGTGGTGGGTGTTCATGTTGTAACATGAGTGGCAGCACACAACTACTGAGAGATGTACAGCTCTTGTAGATGAAGAATCAACCAACACATTATGTTTTATAGACTTTATCTTCCTGTTCAACACCACAGGTCGTCATGACAACTACTTCCCTCACTTATGGTTAATCTACTGAATGACCTAACACAAACTAACACATGATGAACACAAAAACTAAGAAGAACAGACTAATCACTAAAAAAACAATGCTAAGCAGCTAACAGAAATGATTAACAATGAATACAAATTTTACCCATAATCCCTCCTTGAGGCCATGTGACAGGCAGTCATCTACAATGAACCAATGAGGTAGTCTCATTGGGTCACGGGGACCCACCCCCCAAGAAACTGGCATTGGTATTGGGCAGGCAGCTATGCGAGTGCCCTGGTGTGGCAAAGCTAAATGTTTTTGGTGGCAGGAAGCTTTTTAGTCTGTCCAAAAAATTAATTAAAAATAAAATAAAATAAGAATTCTTTCATTCAACCTTTATTTAAACAGATAAATCACATTGAGCCTCGAAGACTCATTTACAAGTGAGACCTGTTTGGACAGACAAAAACAGTGGTTAACTGGACACATGTAGGAGTTGGAGGCGAAAAAAATTCCTATCAGAAGTTTTTCTTGGCTGAGAAAAACCCCTAATATTGAAAAAACACCTCGCACAAACAAGCACATATTTACGTAGACATTCTGCATCAGAGACGAGAGCGGTCAGCAACGCTTATAGATGCTCTCAAGGTCACTGTAATCAGTCAATGTCCTCCGGTGAGATCCATTAACACTCTTGAGGTATGTCGAGGAATGGCCAAGAATAACCTCTTTAAGAATCCAGAGTCCTGAAATGATGACACAAAGTTAATTCAACTGGTTTCATCTGGTTATCAGTTGGAAATTCCTCAGGGAAGGGGTGGTGAGCGTCAGATGAGCCTAAAAGACTCATTTACAAGTGAGACCTGTTTGGACAGACAAAAAAGTGGTAAACTAGACACATGTAGGAGTTGGAGGCAAAAAAATTCCTATCAGACTTTTTTTTCCTGCCTGAGAAAAAAAAACCCTCTAAAATAAAAATAAAAAACTCACACAAACAAGCACATAGTAACGTAGACATTCTGCAGAGGGGGGAGCCAAGAGCGGTGAGCATGTTCATAAAAGCTCTCGAGGTCACTGTAAGAGTTCTGATAAGGATGTAATAATCAGTCAATGGCCTCCGGTGAGATCCATTAACACTCTTGAGGTATGTCGAGGAATGGCCAAGAATAACATCTATGAGAATCCAAGAGTCCTGAAATGATGACACAAAGTTTATTCAGCTGGTTCATCTGCTTATCAGTTGGAAATTCCTCAGGGAAGGGGTGGTGAGCGTCAGATCTCATTTTCTCCAGGTGAATTCAGATAAGATGGCCTTCAAGGCCAGCCAAGGGAGCTAAATTCAGATAAACACACAGTTGTTTTGGGGACAGGCAGGACTCAATGACATCTACCTTGAGTCTGTGTTGATCAACTCTGTTCCGAAATGTCCAAAATAAAATGGCCACAGCGATGGAACGTGACTGAGTAAAATCCCTAAGATCTGATCCATTCAGCCCAAAGCATTTGAGTCTGGGTACTCGAGACACGAACCAAGCCATCATAAAGGCAAGCAGCGTGATCGGGTCCAAATTTGCTGCTGACGACTTCCTTGCTTGATTGATAAAACCAGCAACCAGCCGAATCCAAAAAGCAGGAACAGTTATCGAAAATCCAATTAAATATGCGTCTTTAAAATCCACAAGTGGCAGCAGAGAAAGACACATCATCAAGTCTTCCAAGTCGACGAGATATCTAGCTGCGTGCATGCCAACAGGGCAAATCGGCTAGCCTAAAGCCTGTCTTCTCTTCGAAGAAATGTTGTAAATTGAGTTGAGGGAACAACTGATATGTATTTATTCAGGCTGTTGATCAATTAATAAAAATTAACTAATTAATAGCAAATCTGTTAAAAAAATTAACCGAGATTAATTGTGATTAAACACTTTTCAAGGCAACTTATAATAAAGATGGATTCATTCATCAATTACGTCATTTACTTTTATTTTTTTGTTTTTAATTTGACAATGTTTAAAAGCTTTGAAATAAAATTTGTAAAGAAAATACAGCACATAACTAAAGTGCATTGCAAACATTCATTTTGTGGTTCAAAACATTTACCGTTTGAACAGTATGAATTAGTGTGAACTGCAATTTAGAACCTTACAGAACATTTCTGCTTTGTTTTTAAACCACATGTACCAGATCTACTCCTCTTCATTTAACCAGCTACTAAGACAAACCAGTGTCTCTACATTACTGGAAGAGAGAGCAGCTCTCTTTTTCTGAACGATGTGGCCTGAGAGGGAGAACAGTCTTTCACAGGTACAGTGGTGGCAGGTGTGGAGAGATATTTGCGGGCAATTTGTGCTAGTCCAGGGTATGAGTCTCTTCTTTTTGACCACCACTGCAGTGGGCACTCATCCATGTCAGGTTTGGATTCTGATTTGTAGCGGTCCAGTGTAGATCGACTGGAGTCTGCCTCATCGTCTGTGTCTGAGTCAGATGATGCAAGCAAGAAGACGGACATCTTCCTCTTCTTTAGTGGTGCTTCCGCTGTTGTTTGAGCACCTTGGATCTGGGCATTTCTACCCTCTTTGAGCAAGTTGTTTGAAGAACTCCACACTTCTCCTCTCTCAGATTTAGGAAGGCATTTTAAGTCCTTGAACCTGGGATCAAGTGCAGCAGCATTCTTGAGCCAAGTGAGATTGGAGTTCTCCTTTCGTTGAGCCAGGTCTTCACAAAAGGCCTTTTTGAATCGCACTATGTTGACAGTATCATCATCTGATGCTCCATGACTCTGAACGTGTGGCAGAAGGCAGCACCACAGATCAGGAGATGTAGTTCTGTCCACCCAGAGTTTCAGAGACATACCTGTGAAAACACTAAACAATAATCATTTGTTGTTAATTATTTGCTGTTTTACTTCTAAAATATGCAGAAACACACACATAATTAGTTTGTCTATTTTTTTACACAGCTTGACTGACCCATTGACTTAACTAATATCAACTTAAGTAAAATAATAGAAGGAAACAGAAATAAAAACGTACCTGCATGGCTCAAGTAGCTCCTCCAACTTCTTCATCTTTCCAAGCTCAGCGTCTGTAATCAGGGGAATTTTGCTGCTCTGTTGTGACAGGGTCGCCTCTATTGGTGATTTATTTTGTTGGATCCTTTGGATCATGTGTAAAGTGGAGTTCCATCTTGTGGGCACGTCTTGAATCAGGGATTCTTCTTGTTGTTTATGTGCAACTTGCTGTTGATTCAACTCTCTGGCGTTAGATGGGCTGTGCTTGAAGTGACCAACAATTTTTTGACATTTGGTTAAAACAGCGTCACATCCACTGTCCCCCAGTGACACTGTTCTCTGCAGAGCGTGAGCAGTACAAGGCAGGTGCTCGTATGGAAGGAGGCTTGCAGCTGCTGTCAGGTTTCGAGCACTGTCTGTCCCGAGCGTTGTTATATTTTTCTCAATGTTCCATTGTTGTGCGACCGCCTGGATGTGCTGCGCGCATGCCTCTGCATAGTGGCGCTCGGTAGATTTACTCACAGTTAAAGCAAAGGAGTGCAGGCACCAGCTGTCATCAATAAAGTGAGCCGTGACACCCAGATAGCTATCATTGCTAGCAGAAGTCCAGTGGTCGCAGGTGAGTGCGACGTACGGTGCTTGCTCTAACAGAGTTTGCTGAATCGCCTTCTGGTTGTTGTACAACGTCTCTATTCTGGACATTATGGTTGACCTTGCAGGTAGCTGATAAGCAGAGTCCCCCGACGCCTCCCGAATCACATCCCTCAGTCCTCATCCTCAACAATATTTATAGGCCGACAGTTTTTAGCAACCCAACGAGCAATAACCTCCGTTATTTTGTTGGTGGCTACCTTAGTCAGCGGCCCACCTCTGGCTCCAAACTGTTGCAACGTTGTCTGTCGGAGACCTCCTACTGGCGTCGCTGCCACACCGGGATGTTTCGCCCTCAGGTGATATGTGAGAGATGAATTGCTTCGGTGATAATTAAATACACCTTTGCAATATATGCAAATTACTTTGGTTTTGTCCAAAGCACCATCTGGTAACAACTTAAAGCGAAATTGTCCATTTAATATTGTGTCTTCCTTTTTGTCCATCGCTAGCTTTGCTGAGTAACTGGAAGTGAGGTACAGCAACACCGAGGGGGAGCTTTTCAAATTAATAGTTGCGTTAATTTATTTTATCGTGTAAAAAATAAATAAAATAACGCAAATAATTAATGTGATAATTTCAACAGCTCTAATATATATATGTGTTTAATGTATGCATGTATACATATACATATGTGTACAGTGTTTCCCATACAAGGAGGGTGCCCTGCCCTGTCAACAGAACTG